GCCCACAAACTCTAAAGCTGACTCGGTAAAAGACGACTTCTACCGCCAACTGACCGATCTCCTTCGCCACAGAAGCACTGCGGAATACAGGATGATTATGACGCGTGGTAGTGAATGCCGCAAGGAAGCTGTCTCTCCGATGCCGTCTTTGCACAGTAACCAGCGGTTTGTGATTTTCTGCTGTTGTCCGTTTGTGGACGCTTTGATCCTGAATGTTTGGTTAGGGCATTACAGTTTTACGCTAAGTCCTACTGTTCTTTCTGTTATTATTCTCATTTCTTTCGTTTGTCCTCATGGTTGTACAACATTGAATCTTCAATTCAAATGAATGATGGAATGTTGTTGTTTCTGATACCAATGGGTTAAATGTTAAATGGAATCTTTCCATTTTGCTCTACAACATATCTAGAACTGCTCCCGGTTACACGTTTTCGATCGCGAGCTGCATCGATACACGTTATACGTTTCTCGGGCGGCCTTAGACTGCGGCAATCGTTGCACACATTTTGTAACTCAATAGACGATAGGAATCGGCATTTAATCCCGCACCCGATGTATGAACTCTAGCGCGGGGCATTTGCCTTGTTTCTATTTTCCGACTTGAACTACTACGTGATTGCTTCGGAATTTCCGAGAAATGTCACATGTGGGACGTGGTACGGTAAGGTAAAATTTTCAAATCGGAAATCCGAACTCATACACTACTTTACTCTGTGGAGATAGAACTTTCTAAGGTCTCTGGCATTACCAGAATTATTTTCCATCTTATCCGTATCAAGAGAGGTGTAACCGAAACAATAATCACCAGTTTTCAACGACGGTCTATTGCTTTTGTGTGGTGACTGCACGTAACCAATGTGGTGCTATGTCGTGAGACCGATTAGGCATACGATATACGCAAGCATTTGGCAAGTAAGTTAGTGCGCAGCAGTGTGCGCGGAGTTCTAATTCATGCCTCCATGGGCGTGCATCGCATCTTGAAGAACAGATATTCGTTTATTCATTTATTTAAAACAGTCATACATGGAGTACATGGGCTACTAAACATAGTGATTGTATGGAACTAATCACACACGAATTTAAGCATAGATACGTGATTAGCGGCATGCGGTTCCGGATTTGCTTGTCACTGTGGCCTCCATGGGCACAGCCACAGGACGCTTGCGCCTACAGAGCTACCATGGGTGTCTTACGCTGCACCACCTATACACCCCAAATCCAGTGTACATCCGACGGGGTAAGATCGGGAGGCATGTGGATGGGAGCTACGTTCTCTCAACGGATCCTTCTCACACTCCTTCAGCATGCACATCAGCAACATTGCGGTTTATCTTTATGGGGAACAATGCGTACATAATGAGGTGACTAGGCCGTAGCCTGCTCTACACTGGATGTAACCATTCTTTGAGCATAGCACGGTCACGACGACCGGGTATCCTGCTCCCAAGCAACCATTCCCAGTCTCCTGGAGTCAGTAATCGAGGTGGAGTGCGTTATACAGATCGGCAATTTGTCAGCATTCACCTCAACGCAGCCCCAACAGGGAAATCAGCCATCAGACAGCACCTGCAGTGCAAGAAGCCTACACGCATGTACACGTACAGACCAATTGCAACGATGTTGTAACATATGCACCACGTCAAACTCTCTGTTGGCATACGTTAGTAAATCGTGTGGCAACGAACCCAGCGAGCTGTGCTGATTATCGTTAGCTATTCTGCTGTTTCGTCATCTCTTACATGTTGGCAGCACGTGGTCGCGGTGGTGGCTTACCAGGCCGGCTTGGCTCAGGCACTCACAATCGCATGTGCCACAGCACCACGCATGTGATAATGCTTTCTCCTGCATCTGGGCAGCAGCCCCTTTGATTAAACCACACTGTTACCCCGATCAACTGCATTTGATTTCAAAAACTTGAAATCAACATTAGTTCTTGATAAACTCACTTCGGGCACCGTTGTTCATACAACAGATGTTTGGATATCTGTGACTTGTGAGTCACTATAGAAAGTCAGGTGTTTACACCCAGCATTGGCTGTCCCTACTTGTACGCGTGTTTCTGTTTATCGATTACCCACTCACCAGTGATTTGTCCTCAGCCACTCAATCGATGTTCTGTACACGTTCTTGCCAGACTACACGTTGCATGTTGCCAGCTCGTTGTGTGCACTTCTCCTTGCGTCGTTCAGCTAGGAGCCTTTACTTTGTTCGCAGGCTTGTGTTAGATACGCGCATGTAGACTTTAACAGTATCCTGGTCGAATTCATACAGTTGGTATGCCCCAGCCACTTCAGGTTCCGCAGCTGAAGTGTGCAACCATGCCACTGTGATGCTGCACTTCCGTGTCAGCAGCTCTCTCACAAGCAGCATCAAACGTACATCATCACGGGAAGGGAAGTATTAAACAGGGCAGATGTTAAGACACAACCTTTCTTCATACTACAGACAACATTAAAGCCATCCGGGATTTTTCCGCGGAGCTGCGCCCTCGCCCGCATACCACTGCGCAGATATTCACTTAAACTTATAAACTTACTCGGACAAGCAAACTTATCCAACACCGTGTCAACTGTCTTGGTGAGGTTAACAAACAGTGAGTTTAATGGCTAGTGTCCTTCTCTGCACTTCTCTTGCAATTGACGAGCCGTGAGCATCATATCTATGGTGCTGCGACTCGAAGAGAATCCGCACTGCTCTCCCCCCACATTCGCTTCAACGATCTGACTGACGAGACCATTGAGAAGTATTTTTGCAATCAGTATAGCAATACAGCAGCAGGTTGCCACTACGATAATTCCTGACACATTGTTTGTCTTATTTCCCCTACACAGTGATGGCACAATGCATTCTTCAAGTTAGTCCGCACCTCTTCTCCAAACCATACGTGTTACACAAAGTGGTGCAGCGCATTTATTAACGTGCGTCCGCCATGTCTCAACACTTCTTTCACTCTCCCGTCGTCTCCGACGCATTTGCCGTTTCGCAGCTGAGCTAATGCTCTCTGCGTCTCATTCATTGTCGGTATGTCGTTAAGACGCATCCTCATATCTTGTTGTTGCAGCCCGTTCAACCAATCTCTGAACGGTTGTTCAAGAGACTGTCAAAATGCGCCCGCCAGATCTGCATTACCTCTACAGTCTGTGGACAGGTATCACCTGAGGCAGCATCGAGCAGCGCTCTCAGCATGACTGCTCCATACATCGCCTTGGGGAAGCTAAAGAATCCTTTGTTGCCGACTTTCGGCGTACCATTCCATCTGCTTCACCTTCGTCCACCATACATTCTTGATGCGACAGAGCTCTTGAATCAACCTCCGAAAAGACTTCTTTTCTGTATCGGCCGGACTGTCCGCATGTACAAGGAATGCCACATTCTTCTCCGACACCAATGCGCCAATGTGTGCATTGTTGTCATAAAACCAATGGAGTCGCTTACACTTTACGCGCCCCATGATTTCCTCGGCAATAGCTGTCACCTGCGTACGGATGTGCTGCTATAAATCCATCACTTTGGCTATGGATTCGACATCCCCCATTTTGGTAGCCATCGTTTTCTTCAGCTCACACCTCTTTTCCACAGAATCTATTCAACGAACATTAAATTTACGCGACCGATTCACGACAGATGAGCAGTACATGGTTTTTGCAAATACATGCGCAGTTTGGTCCGCATCAACTTGTGATCACTGTCACACAGCTTCATGCAATACACATGTCATACGTACTTCACGCGTGTCACGCTGGCATGCGATAACATACTCCAGCAGATGAGCGTGACCACTCCGTAGGTGCGTCCAAGTAGCTATACCAGTGAGTACGCCATATAAAGTTTGCCACCCTATAATCGGTTGGAAGGCAGCGTGAACGTCTTCTGTTTTTATGCGCCAATCCTTGAACGCTCTTCAGATTTCTGTTCCTTCCGCCTCTATATTAACGAAATTCAATAGGCGACTTGATAACACATTGCCCCACCTATATACTATGGTTTAACTTATTATTGAGACACAGGATGACGCGATCAAACTGTGTACACATGTGAACAGTCAGCGTGAAGCTCGCCTCTTTTGCGCTCACTGGAAACGGTGCTTAGGCAATTTATTGCTGCTGTATCTGTCCTCTTCTTTACAGCATCGTGGCAAAAGTTTAGCAATTCGATTCGAATCACATAATGTGAGGTAGCGCTGTTCTGCTCCTTTAAGGTTGCCAATTCCATGTTCGCAAACTTCTCAGTGTCCTAGTACCAGCCCCTTAAAATTGGTTGTGGCATACCAATTTCGCTCTTACACAATCTCTTCATAAACTCACGCGGTTAATGGCTATCGGACGCACGCTAGTCCAGACATTTCGATTACACACGCTCGACTCCATAGTCGATGAAGTCCGCATCTAAACCAGGGAGTCTTCGCTTGAAAAATTGTAACCTGAAACCCACTTAATTGTCCCAAATAAATATCTCCGATGACAGGTTGTGAAACGACGCAGTCGATGTTGAAACAGTGTACATACCTTTTGTATACTATCTTACCTGTAGATCTAGAGACGACTCTATTGGGAGCACTGATCAAAGTCTGGATATCCGAATTGACGAACGCAAATAACCGAAACGAGACACGGTTGCACTGGCAATCATGATGATCACCAGTCAATACTTCGGCCCCGATGCACCGGTCACAGTCCTCATGCGCAATTAGAGGACTCACGTTATCAAGTTCCTTGAAGCCGTCGTTTTATCGATCGAGGACGGCCGCCGCTCTATTTTCCGAAACAGCTGACATTGTAACTACCATGGTGAAGTGTAGCGCTCCGATCGATCGCCACTTGGCTACCAATGGATCTCATGTGACGTCACCACTGAGGCCCTTATTTTTTACATGTTCATGAAGAAAATGCGCGAAATGGTATACCATCCCACAGTATACAACTTCTGACGTTTCTATTTGATACTCTGATAAATGCTATTCATGGAACCAACTGACTTACTTGTGCCTTCAATCTTTTCAGAAAGATCTATATCCGGACGATCTGGAGACCATCGATGAGGCTAGGAAGCGCTGCGGTGGCCCTTTCCGTTTTTCCTTCTGGAAGAACGAATGAGCGGATTTTGTCTTGTTTCGAACTGGCTACTTCCAATTGTAGTTTTGCTAGTTTAATGTTACCCTATCTATTTTTGCTTTATCGGAAGTTGAGTTTGAGTACCGGTTGTGAATTCATAATGGCCTCTGATGTTTTCCCATATAATCTTGTCTACACTCGTTTTCTGAATTACTTACTATGAACCATCTTATTCTCCAATCTATTCTACAAGGCGGAAGATCTACTGCTAAGCTACATTTGGATGTGTGTCAGCTGCGGATTTTTGCAATGATTCGCGCTTAATCACGTTATGCTACCATTACACTTTATTCATTACCACAAATTCCCGTTTATTTGCTCGATCTTCGTCTTCTTACATGGTTAGAATCGTTTGAAATGCCTCCCTGTGGAAACGTAGTTACATCTTCTCCTTTCCGTTTCCGCTGAAGTATTGCTGACTGGTATACTGACGGATCCTCTTTTGTATTTCTATCTACACTACAACACGCCTACGTGCGAACACGAGTTACGACCATTTTTAATGTAGATCGAAATTGGTTGTAGTCAGGCCTAATCGCCCGGGCAACAACAGTACCGAAAAATCCACTGAACAGGCACAGTTTTTTTTCAGATTTCGTTAGCGGTGCACGTTTTACCGTCTCAGCAAAAGGCCAAGTTTGCCTCTGTTATTTGAAATTATGTCGTCTTCACGTTGACTCGTTTACGCAGACCATGCTACCTACTAGGTACTCCCGCTGACGATTGGGAATGCCATCACGACTGGTCGCAGAGTAAACGTGCTCTTGTTTGGTGGCGCGTCGTATACTAGTCGGTAAGCAATGACACGTAAGAACCGTGTCAAATACGAGACAGTATAGAAGTTGGAGGCGACTGAACTCAACGTGTATTGTACAGACTACCAAAGTAGGAAGCGAATCAACCAGATCGAGAAACGGTGCAGCAGGATACTAACCAAAACGATTGGTGTCAACGGAAGTGCTGTCAGTAGAACAAGTGGAGGTTTTGAAGGTTAAAACAACCGTAAAATGCAATGTTGCAAAATACTGAAAGGACGTGTTTTCTGGTACACTACAAGGGCCTCCTCCTAGTATGCTAAGGGATAGAAGCGTTTTTGGGGAAAACGGATGATGAGATGGGTGAAAATAGTTGCATGGGTCTGAACACGGGCTTCCAAGAATGGTGTGCAGCAGAGTTTGCCGGGTCTAGGATTTTGTTAGTAATTATTTATGATAATCGTGTGGACCAGAGTGCATCATCGCTGGGACGTCGGGGCGGACTGCAAAGAAGCTAGTCCAGAAAAACGACCAATGGGACATTCCCGACGATGCGCTTGGCAGGTGTCACTACTCCCACTGCACTCCAGTCCACGGTCCTCGTCCCACGAAGAAATCCGGCGCCTTCGTCGGCAACGCCTAGCTAGGCGTTTGGGGACCAACCAGTTCGTGGCTCTCTGCGATTGAGGACGACTGACTGTTCCTTGAGTCAGGAAGGGCGCCTTATGTCGGCTGGCGAGTCACTCAGTGATTGCGTTGAGCCGGTTGGCAGGTCACTCGAGGGTTGCCTTGGCAGTTCCTGCGGTTGTGTTTCTGAAAGGTAGAACTCAGAGTGGGTGGGCAAGGGTCGGAGGAAGTGGCTTGACGCCGGAGAGGGAACATGGCATGCGTGATAAAAGGTAATGCGTTTTTTAAGTGTTCAAAACGTTTTGGGTTTTTTGTCGATGTTGCAAAACGTTTGTGGATGAGGCGCACGCTTACCACTAAAAACGAAAAAGGTGTGTTAATGTAAATAGCAAACGTTCACAAAATCTGTAAAACGGACCGAACGTTTGACCTGTCTACCACGTTGTTCGGTTGCTTAGGGCTGACGCAGGGTAGGTTGAGGGTCCAGGGGAAAGGAGGGTTTCGGGATATCCAGTGCTCGGGAAGTCACCGCAGGTACGGGTACTTGTGTGATAGCGTCAGTATGGGTTGCAAATTGTTCCTGAAAGAAAGCCACTTTGAGACGGCCGATGGGCACCATTGTTCGGTGACCATTCTGGTCTAAAGTGCAATGTTTCAGAGTCCGTTGCAGGACTCTGGAAGGGCCCGTGTAGGTAGGCTGGAGAGGGCACTACACTGCTTCGGTGCGGGGGAAGACGTTAGTGCAGGTAGAGAGCCCGCTGTGCATTTGCACATCTTTAGTCTGCTCACGGGGCGGTCTGGCGTGGTGAACGCATGCCTTGAGCAAGGGCGGAGGCATTCCCGACGATGCGGGAGGTGAAACGAATTCTCCTGACAACTTTAGCGTTCTGCGGTAAACCAGCTCTGCTGCTGCACATTGCAAGTCAGCTTTGATGCTGCTGCGAATGCCTAAGGGTACGAGCGAAACGTTTTCGCTCCAACTAGGGTCGGAGGAGGCGCTGAGTGAGGTTTTAAGCTGTCTATGGAAGCGTTCAACTAACCCGTTGGCTTCTGGGTGATACGCTGTGCTATGAATGCGGCCACAGCCTAAAAAGTTGCAGAACGTATCGAATTGTGAAGATTCGAAAGGCGTTCCTCGGTCAGTTTTAATGCTGGATGAGCATCCGTAGTGTGAGACCCACCGATCTAAGAAAGCCCAGAAAACAGTCTCAGTTGTGCAGTCTGTTACGGGAATGGCTTCTGACCATCTGGTGAAGCGGTCAATAAATTTAGGAATGTATACAAATCCATGTGAAGGAGGCAAGGGACCTACCAGGTCTACGTGTACATTGCGAGAACCGAGAGTCCGGGGTGGGAAATGAACCAAGAGGACTGCGGGTGTGAGGATGTACTTTGGAGCGCTGGCATCGAAGGCAGGCTCCAGCCCAGATACAAAAATCTTGGTTTACGCATGTCCAAGCGAAACGTTCGTTGAACAGTTTCAAAGATGCACGGATACCGGGATGTGATAGGGGGTGCAGTGCACCAAAGATTGTGCGCCTGAAGGAGACGGGCACGAGGGATCTAGGACAAACTGTGGAAGTGTCACAGAGAATGGTTCCTTCCGTGATTTGGAGAGGAACAAATTACACATGCAGCAAACTGGACTGCAGAGTGCTTTGTATATCTCCATCTTGAGCCTGAGCCGATGCGATGGCGGCAAAATCGACGGCAGGCAAAGACTGAAGGGTAAGGTTGACGCGTGAGAGCACGATGTCGACGGGATTGTCGACACCTGGGACATGACGTATATCAGCAGTGAACTGCGTGACAAAGTCTAGATGTCTTGTTTGCCGTGGTGAATATTTGTCGGAGGCAGATTTGAAGGCGAAGATGGGAGGCTTGTGGTCAGTGTAGACCGTGAAAGCGTGTCTTTCGAGTGTGTGCTGGCAGTGACGAATGGCTAGGTAGATGGGGAGCAGTTCTCTGCCAAACGTGCTGTAGCGGGATCCTGCTGTCTGCAGGCGTTTGGAGAAGAATCCAAGGAGTTGCTATCGCCCACCAACGTGTTGTTGTAGGACAACTCCTACCGCGACGTCTGAGACATCAGTCGTAATAGAAAGGGGTGCAGTCGATTCGGAATAAGCAAAGAGGGCAATGTTGGAGATAGCATCCTTAAGCTCGGCGAAGGCTGTCTGTGCTGTGTCAGGGAAAGCGGACTTACGTTCATTCCCTCTGAGTAGGTCAGTCAGAGGCTGCATGGGTTGAGCGCAGTGCGGAATGAAGTGTCGATAGTAGTTAAACAAACCACAAAATCGGCGGAGGTGCATGAACGAAGTCGGAGCTGGGACGTCCTTGATTGCCTGGATCTTATCAGTAAGGACTTCGATACCAGACAATGAAACAAGGTGGCCTAGGAATTCTACCGTTGATTTACCGAGTTCACATTTAGTCAGTCTGACTGTGAATCCGTGTTGGGTCAAGCGCTGGAAGAGAGTTCGGAGGTGGTCGTGTTGCTGTTGTTCCGATGAACTGGATACTAAACTATCATCGAGATAGGAGTAAGCGAACTCTAGGCCATGAGTGACATCGTTGATGAATAGTTGGAAGGTTTGTTCGGCATTGCACAGTCCGAAAGGCATTCTTAAAAATCCAAAAATGCCGAAAGGGATGATAACGGCTGTTTTACGAATGTCATTTTCTACAGGTATCTGCTGATTGACGCGAACCAGGTCGATCTTGCTGAAGATCGTCCTACCTGTGAGGCATGCGGTGAGGTCCTACATGTGTGGAGTGGGGTACCTATCTGGGATGGTTAGCCGATGGAGTGCGCGGTAATCACCGCAAGGGCGCCAGTCACCAGTTTTCTTGGGGACCATCTGCAGGGGCGAGGACCAAGTGCTGTCGGAAGGGCGGATTATTCCTAGTTCCAGCATGTGCTCAGACTCCGCCCTAGCCACCTTTAATTTCTCGGGCGATAGTCCGCGTGGACGGCATGAGACGGGTGGGCCATTGGTCCGTATGTGGTGCGTGACTGGAGATGTCACGGGCAAAGCTGCGTTCATTGGCTGTACGAGCTTAGAGTACTGGGAAATGAGGTTGGCGTAGTCTGACGAGGTATTGGGAGAGGCGTAGACCAGAGTGATAGAAGCGATATCGGCGGTGATGCCTCGTACACCGAGTTCCCTTACAGTGTCGACTATCATCTGCCGTTTCGCATCGATCAAGAGGTCAAAATGCTTGAGAAAGTCAATACCGATGATGGCAAAGGGGACTGCAGCGACGGTGAATACCCAGCGGAACGTGCGCCGAAGACCTAGGTCTAGGGTAAGCGACGGATGACCGTAGGTGGCTATTGACGTGCCATTGGCGGCACTTAGACTTGTTGACAAAAAAGCGGTAGGCTCACATGGCATAGAAGGAATGACGCTGACTTCCGTCCTGGTACCAACTAAGAACTGAGTCTCGGAATTATAATCCCTAATGTAGGTGAGACGGCTTTAAGTTTTGCCTATGTCGTTCGTGGCCATTACAGGCCGGTTGGTCGGATCATCAGTAGCGGAGTAGCTACATGGCAGTACGCACTTATCGGCTTTATTACCGAAACGCGAGTGATACAAG